CATGCCCGGTCCCAGGTCCAGGGCAGATGACAACTTTCACTCCCTTGTGGCTCTTGCACCGTCATTTTACACCATGTTGACACTCAGACAGAAGCTCAAAGGATAGCTTGGGGATCTCTCCTCCTCTCTAGCCACCAGAACACAGAGGGATCTCAGTGGGAATGAGCTGGAGCATCTTCCTGTGTTTTGTTGTACTTGTATCAGAGACCTATAGCAACTAATAATCAACACACGTTGCACTGCTTGTGGTGCAAAAACCCAGGAGAAAGAGTTGACACCAAAATTGCTAGATTTGGGCCATATAGCAACAAAAACCCCAAACGAGGTTGCAAGGCAGATCAGGAAGRAGCCCTCACCCAGAGAGCACCTACCACTCCAAGAAATAAGCTCATGTCACAACATGTTCCAACCAGGTTTCGAGCACAGCAGCAATTTTCTAGCAGTCTTCTAATATAGCAGTGCCATCTTCAGGCAAAAAGTCTGCCCTGCACTCATGCCACCTCATACTTGCTCCCCTACCTCTGTGTGGAGCTGTGTCCTCAAAGAGCACTGAAATAACCTCAGCTTTATCCTCCCAATTGCCATGGTAAAGCCACTTTTTAAAAATAATCCTGTGAATAATAGGCCACCTCACTGCGATTGCTAATGATGAGCCTCTGATTTCATAATGCAAAGGTTGCAGTTGAGGATCACCCTCTTCAACTGGCCATGCAGCGCTGGTATAAAATACAGCAAAGCAATGCAGGACTCGTAGGTCCAYGTGGTACTAATACAGTGGACGTATTCTCACAGCATCACACCCAGCTTTACCCACACTTACCTAGTCCTGACGTTTTCCTGGATGGTGCCATCCCACAATTCCCGTCTTCCTCCAAGCTGCTCCTGCCACAGCTCTGCAGGCAGCTCCCCAGAGCAAAACCAAACCCGCAGGCCCAAACAGCCTAGGACAAGCACTAGGACCAGAGCAGTTGTGAAGACCACGGTGCCCAGCCTCTGGGAACCTCCTCCAGTCCTGCTGGCATGGTTCTTGAGATCCCAACCATGCCCAAGTTGCTACTGCCAAGCTCCTGTGGCTCTCCCCAGCCTCCCAGCAAAGCTGAGRCTCTCCAGATGGCCAGAGCATGTTGAAAGCATAAGGCATTTGGGTTGGAGGACACCACACAGGACGCTATAGCAGGACAGCTTCAGCATGGTCTAAATGCTCCTGAGGGTCTCAACATTGAGGGACAACTGGAGGAGCATGGGAGAAAGAAGCAGCTTCCCAACCCCGAGCAGGAGAGCCTGGCATCTTAGGTGCAGAAAGGTTTTTACCTTCCAGGCTGTCCTTCCTCTTCACTGCCATCACATTTAAGACATAACCCTCCTTTCCTCAGAATGACAATTTCTACAAAGCAGTTTGCTTCAGAAAAAGTCACCTTCTGCTGATAAGAGCTGCAACTTAGCACCATTCAGCCCACCTGGGGATAATCTCCCATCACTGGCACATCAGTTTCCAGGCCCCCAGGCAGTGCAGACTGTCCTGCCATAGAAGAYAGCAGGATTCAGCACCACGCTGCCCAGTTCAGCTTGGAGCACAGGGCTCAGCCTGGTTTTCCAGGCTGCTCCTCTGACTACCTGAGTTCATTAAGGCCTGAAATGCACAGAGTGTGGGATATAATGGGGAATTCCAGCTTTCCTCTGGATTCCCCTGCTCCTGCCACAGCTGCTCCGCCAGTCTGGTCTCTCAAAGCCCAGTCAGGGCAGCCCTGCAGCTGCTTTGATTCAAATTGACCATAAATGGCAAAAAGAAAACAAATAAACCAAAAAAAAACAGGCCATGTAAGTCCATGCTAGTTGGGCACAATGCTTCACCTCCTCTTTCAGCAGCAGGGGAATTAGTAGAGGAGTCTTCACAGAGTCCACAACAGGTCTTGCCCTGTGGTGGAACCCTCCCTCTTGGCTTGGAAGCATCCATGATGGGACACTGTTACTGCAGTTGCACTCTTGGAGTGAAGCGACATGACTCCAAAGTTTCTGGTTCAGAAAGGGGAAATTTACATCTGAAATCCCAAGGGTGAAATGCTGAGGTCTTTGGCCCGGGCCACTCCCATGTCACAAGGGGTGCAAAGAGGGCATTTCTGCAGCCAAGCAACCTACCTCTTCCAAGCAGCATTCCTCTAAGGAAGTCTCGTACACACAGATACCAACACCTAGATATTGCTTTTTGGGTAAAAAGAAAAGTTTTTAAGTCATGGCCAAAGGGAATTGCCTGAAAAGGTTGGTGTCAGGATTTGGGTGGGATTCAGTAACCCTGCAACCACAGACCAAAAGGCCCCCTCCTGGTGCCACGGTTCTGCACATCTGCGCTTGGCTCCCATCAGCAACACGGCCAGACCTTCACATCCCGACTCCACAGCACCTCCCATTGCCCTCCTCTCCACTCCACCAGCTTCTGTTTTTTCCTTAAAAGTTTGTTGGGGAAAAGAGTAAGTCTGCACTTCTGTAAATATTTTACCTTTTTGATGTTCCTTACATGTTTCCAAGGCTTTGGTTACAGTTTCTTCAAGAAAAAAAAAAAAATCTCAAACTTTTGAGCATGGGAAAGGGACTCCTCCAATTAATATCAAGAGTTTTGGCAGGAAAATCCCATTTTCCCAAAGATAAAACAGTTACCTGTTTTATCTTTGACCCTCCTGACRTATCTGGGAAGTGCCCTGCAGAGCTCGAGCCAGCAGGAAAGTGGCTCCTTGCACAACTTTAAATACTGTAACATAAATGAAGCAAAGAGAAGGTCTCCCAAGCCCACARGCAGGTTGGGAGGCAAAGCAGGGACCGGGCTCAACAAAGTCAACGCCAGGGTTGTTTCCACATTGCAGAGGGGTGACCCCAGCTCTCCATCCACACGTTTGATGGGTTCAGGCTCATGCCTGTGGTCTAAATTCCCCAAAGAATCCATAGTTTTTATTTTTTTTTCTCAGAATTGACAGTGTTGGAAACCTCTCTTTAGTAACTTGACACAACAACTTGTAAACCAAGCAGTACATTTACAATGGGACTCCGTCTGTTTCAATAGAAATAGATCTTTATTAATACCATGCACATTATATATATATATTTAAAATACATATACATTTTCCTACTATTCACTTTAGAAAACAATCTCATAAAAACCTTTAATCAGGCCTCAAGTAATCTTAAACATTAAAAAGCCATTTTAAGTATAGAACCAGTAAGCATTAGTCCAATTAAGTGGTGTATAATCACCATGTAGTTAACATAACGCAGGCTCATGCATTTCAACAGAAATAGATGTTCCCTCTTCTGCTTTGTTAATCAAGTCAAATATATGATGCTATACTTGACGACACCTGCCTTTTATATATGCAGCTGGGATTCCCTGCTGAGAGCGCTGTACAGATGGGATTTAAAAGCCAGAGACAACTTTTGTTACAACTTTCCAATCGAGTCCACATGAGGGGCCTCTGATGTTGTAGGTGACGCAGCACCCACAGGTGACAGGAGCTGGAAAAAAAGGGATTTTTCACAAATTGTAAAGAGAAAGCAATGGGGAAAAAAAAAGAAGAGGAAAGGGAATTGCCAATCCCCTTGGGTGTTCATGGCAATAGGGATGGGATCTGGTTTCCCAAGGCCGGCTCGAGTATTGGAGCGCATGGAAGGGTCTGCAGTTTTCAGAGGGCATATACGAAGGCCAGCTGATGATGGGGCTTTAAGGCACAAGWGTCCATATATATACACTCAACATACTCATTAAAAAACAAAAGTTCCATCGACAGTGCAATACAGATGCAGGCAAGAACTCAAGCGGCAGCTCTATAGTCACTTCCACGGAGAACGAGGCGGTTTGGGAGCACCCATGCACATGCTGCACACCGAGCACCCAACTGGTCGTGTTGCGATGGCTGCACCAAGAAATAGTAATACAGGCAAAGACGATTTCCTGCTGACCGAGGCACGGTCACATCTTCAAAATTAATCAGCTATCATAACGAGTCCGTCCTTGTCGCACATCTTGGCTTGGTTCCTCTCTGAGGAACGTCCTATCTCCAAGGCAACTGGTGCTGGAGGGAAGCAAGGACTCTACATCCAGTGCAAACATAGCCCATGTGTGGGAGTGCCTACTGCAGTCAGAACAGAATATACACAAATATATATATATTTATCACTGAAATGTGACCACCTACAGATAGTTTCACATGTTAGAAGCTAGAAGAACCGAACTCTGAATCTGCTACAAACCTGCAAAGAAAAATCGCTGTATGTAGCTGGGTCAAAATGCTGGTACCTGGCAACTCGGTGGCTAAGTGTTAAAAACAGTCCATGATTCAAAAAGTGCCAAATTCAGTATTTTGGGACTAACTTGCAAGGTTATTGCATCTTGGTTGTTATTTGTCATTCTGCAAAATACCTGTTTTAAGCATAAAAGCAGAATGTTTTGATCCCACTTTTAAACAGCTCAAATCACCGTGCARAGTGGAAGGCAGAAGAAACTTGAGCAGACTCAAAGTACTCAGACTTCTCTACCTTTGATGCAATTTTATATCAAAAAGTCAACCATAAAAAATAATTTATTTTCTAGGAAGGAATAATAGCATTCCACATCTCTAGAGCAAGCAAGCAAACAAAAAAAAAAAAAGAGATTTTTTTTTTAATTCAAAAAAAAGAATGTGAGAAGAACATTAGTAAAATATTGTCCTCTCTCCCAGGTAGCCCAAGGATACTCACAGCTCCTGTCTTCGGGAATTTCAAACACTTGTGTTACCTGAGGCACATCCAGATGTCTATCTGTTTAATAAAGTGCACGGAGATTTAACACATTATCAGAGAGGCTTTTAATGGGTGAGAAAGCACCTGCCTTCTTCACCACTCAAAGAAGTTGTTTGTTCAAAGGTGATTCCAAAATGGGGATTTTCTTTTTTTCTTTTTTTCTTTTTTTCTTTTTTTTTAAGGAGAGGTTAAGAGCTTTAATCCTATCAGGCTTTTTCATTCCATTGGCAAAATAGAGAAATAACATTACTAATTTTATATAAAAAGCTTTGCTTTTCAGGCCAGAGATATTATATGAACATAATAAAGTAGGGCAGTGAACTGGGGAAAAATAAAAAGAGATTTTAGCACTTCATGTAGTTGCCCGATCATTACAAATTCAGGTGAAAATGGATACAAGGTGTATAAACCAGGTCGATGTAGAGCTGGGAATTACAGATTTGGAAAAAAACAGWGGACAGAAGTAACTTTCCCTTGACACCTCGCTGCCTTCTACTGTCCCTACCCGAACCCCTGCGCATGCATCATGATGTTGGGGGTAAAAATGCTCTTTTGGGGATAACGGCACCGCTCACAACAGCCTGACTCCCTCTACGAGGGCTCAAAATTCCCTTGGCCTTTCCCCACTGCCCCACTGCAATGGGCAGAGTCCCTTTTAGCTGCTCCTTTCCGAAGGGCTCCAGCCTGGCCGAGGGTGCAGAGAGACAAGAAATGGGCTTAGTCTCCAAATAAAAAACTAACAGCAGCTTCTCCAGCCTGAACACTCACTCTAATTGCACTTCCCAAGCAGCGCTGCCCTGTTTTTTACCAGCCTTCCCACAGTTTATGTGCTGTTTATGTTCTCAGATTTGCAGGTTATCCGCTTTTTTTGAACTAGGCAGTTGCCTTTTTGTTATTGTTATTAAAAACATCACTAGATTTCACTCCGCTTCCTTCTGCCTGCTAAGCCTAGGGCGCCTTCTCCCCGTCGACGCGTCAGTGAGTTTGCTCTTTGCACTTGCTGCTCTCGTCTCTCTCGTTTTTTCCCCCGCGTTTCTGCACAAACACTGCTGTCAGCCTCGCTGATGAGTGCAACACACGGGACCACGACGTTGCAAGCAGCATTAACAGGAGGAATCCTATGGATTAAGCCCATCCAGCGGCATTTGTTCGTACTGTGTAACGCTTCGGAAAGAGCATCAGCCGCTCCGACACGAGAGAAGCCAGAATAAAAATTAGGTTCCTAGATACGTCTCTGCCTCCAGCTGAGAGTTTGTTCTCATTTAATTCACTTTAAAGCTGCAGTGGTGGGAGCGAGCAGTGCAAAACCGGCTCCTTCCCTGCAAGCTGACAGATTCCTAGGATTTGGGCTGGTTTTGCAGCGCATTGGGTATTTGTTCAGTAGCTCTGTGTTGCGAGCCACTCTCAACTGAACAGCAGATGTGTCCATAGCTGATAGTTACAGGCTCATTAATCACATTTCCACAGGTTATAGTGCAATCTTTGCTTTCGACTCCCTGCCTGGAGCATCACCTTTTCCCTTATATTACTCTTTGGTATTTTCATAACGTAGCTTTGGCAGCTATGAAACTTGCCCGTTCTCGTCCTCAGTTTGCTGAACATCTCTCAGGTCATTGCACACACTTGTGAAATATATATTTACATAATCTAAGGTTAATTCCCAGACTGAAATTGGACATTTYACTTAACCTGAAAAACTATTACTAACGATGAGTATTGTCATCAAGAAAACCTCTGAGGTTTTGCTAGCATCTGTCAGATACATTCATTCTTATCAATAGGAGTTTTTGTTGTTTTTCTGCCTTTTTTTATTCCACATAAAATGAAATGACTGTCTGTTCCCTAGCACCAATAGGAACCTCTGGCCAAACAGTAAATCAGCATGCAAAAAGGATCAGGGAAACAACTAGGGAAAGAATCAAATGAAGCTAAGGAATCACTGGTGACTGGCTGCAGAAACAGTCTTTCCTGTGAGTCATTCTGTTTTGCTCTAAAATAGCAAAGTAGAAACCAGCTAAGAGAGAAGTAAAAGGTGAATGCAATTACTTAAAAAAATAAAACCCTACAAATCTCAATAGTGGCTGTTTTGCAAGTAGCAAGTGAGCTAGTCTCGGAAAATCCTAAGCAAAAGGCTGTTTGCTTTGGCACTGTCTCCTTCATCTTCAAAGAAACTTTCTACCTATACATTTACAGGAAATATCGAGCTTTTTACTCCTCGCTGTTAGACTGCTCTGCTGCTTTGGGGCTCCCTTTCCACTGGGGATGACACAATTGAACTGCAAAGTGGCTTTGGACATCCGTATCTACACACAGGCAACTGAAATGCAGCTTTGTTTCTACAAAACACATTGCGCACAGTCTCTGCGTGCGAGAACCTCTGTATGCACCAGCTCTGCGTGTCCGGCAACGCACTCTGTAACCGCGGGGTTGACACCAGCGGCTGCAGAGCGTGAGTCAAAGCACCTTCCACCGAGCTCCGCTCGCGTCCCGGCCTTGATCCCAAGGACATCTGCAATTAGTGCCTCATCTTAACATCTCCATAAGCAGTCCAAGCATTCAGAAACAAACATCAGTGGGTCTAACAGCTACTTTTAATTCATTTTATAAATAAGCAATTGAGAATTTTGCTCCAAGTGGCTGCTTGTGTAGCCCATTCCGTAAATGGCGTTCTCTGCAGAATAAGGCACGATATGATACGAATGCAGCTCTTCATAATAGAGTGACTGAGAACAGCATTCTTGTACCATAAACTTCAGCCGTTTTCGTGCATCAGAGTAAGCAGTCCTATAACAGGGAGCCTCCTTAAAGTATTCATAGCTCTCCCTCTCTGTCTCTAGGTGAATCTTCCTCAACAGATTGTTAATTAATACCGACCTACGGAGATAGGCTTCAGGGTCTTCCAGGAATCGGAGTTTCTGGAGAGAAAGTTTTAAGATACAAGTCCGGTCCTCGGGTAGTATCAGGTGCTAAGAAGTAGAGAAAAAACAAGCAGGTCTTTAGCAGTGAGGAATAACACCAATGGAGGGTGGGATCTGGAATGGGAAACCTACTCACTTTTGGACAATACTCATGGTAATCTTGACGTAAATGTTCTTCTTCTGCATATTTTCTCTTAAAGTAGGCTACTTTCGACGTCGTTAATGTATTTAGTAGGCCCCCAATCAGATCAGCTCTGCATAAAACAATAAGAGAAAAGACTCAGTGGTGCTTGCTGCCATCGTCACTGCAGTGTCCCTGTCCTGGGTGCATAAAATGAGGTATCCAGGTGGGATCCAGCCTGTACTGAACATGCACTCACCATGTGTGGTTCTCAACCCCACCATACTAGAAAAGACTCGAGGTGCCAACACTTGTGAGGATGTTACCAACCCTCTGCCCTGAGACACGTGAGAGCAGCACGTCCTGCTCTGGAGAGGTGGCCACCAGCCACAGYGCTGTGCTGGACAGGTTGCAGGACATGGATCCTGCAGAAGGAGCTGGGTCCCCACCAACCTCTGCTGCACGGAGCAGGACGAGGAGGCAACGGAGCTGGGAGGTCTCCATACAACTGCAGGAGGAATGGGGAACAGAGGGGGCCTTCTGTCACATTGAAGTGCATGTAGAAGACACACAGCAATGGACAAGTTTTTAATTAAATTTCAATTTAATTCTACATTTAAATTTTTAAATTTAAATTTAAAATTTGATTTTAACACCCTACACACGCACACACACACTTACGTGGCTTCACTGACAAGCAAATACGAAGTGTATTCACTAGATGGTAGTGTTGGTGCGGGGAAGAGGAGCACCCTAGCTAGGTGTCAGCAGTGACAGCTCGTTTGCTCTCCGGTTTTTCAGCTTTTAAGGACATAACAGACTGAGGCTCGGTATTTGTAAATGAGAAGGGACTTCAGTTTTGCCCTGTGATAAGGTTCAGCAGGGATTATAGACAAAAATGAAGCCTTTCGGAGGAGTTGGGTTGGGCGTTTGCTCACGTGGAGAGGAGCTCTGGAGAGGCTCAGGGTTCTCTGCAAGCCACCAGCTAGGACCAGCTCTCTCTTCTTTCATCTCTATGGAGAGCTGGTCCTAGCATCTTAATGAGATCCATTACTTTGCTAGTATTCAGTCTCGTGAATGCCAGGTCCCTGCGAGAGCCCTGGGATGCTTGTACAGATGTGCCTTTGAGCTCTCACTCAAAAGACAGMAGGAGGTGACACCAGCTGCGTCCCAGCAGCTGCTCTGTGCTGCGTGGTGCTCACAGCCCGATCCAAYGCTGACTCCGTGGGGGTAGGAGTCATGCTGTCAACATCAACGGGAACTAGATGGATTCTGATGATGAACGTACTACTATAAACATGCTAAACCCAGGCTACCTCTACCCTGTGCTTGTCCAGAGCAAAGCAGAAAGGGGGCAACGTGGGGTTAAGTTATCTTCATGCTTCCTCCATGGCAGAAGATTGAGGATCAGGTGTGACATAAGACCCCAGCAGCAGATGTGGCTGCCAGCATTGCATAGGGGTGTCACAGTCATGCTCCAGAATGGTTTTTATGCAAGAGGTTCCCAGAAAGAGTGGGCCAGAGGACTCTTTATGGTAGGAGGGAAGAAGTTCAAAATCAAAAAAATACATAAATAAATAAGGAGACCCAGAATAGAATGCCACTCACTTTCACTTTACTATTCATGAGTCATTACTGGGAGGCATGCATATTTGTATGTGGTTCAGTTACCTCCTGAACCTCCTCTGTGATAAGAATTTTTGTGGTTTGCTTTTAAATGTGCTATCTTTTAAAGCAGACTACAGTGTCTTTTAAGGGCAGTCCAGCAAAAGAGGGTGCCTGGAGTCACTTTTTAGCATACCTCAAAATCAGGTCCTACAGGATGATTTTCTTTTCAAAAACTCAGGTCTCTGGATTGGGCTGTTCTAAAACAGACTCTCTGAGGAGACAAAGGAATTGGTTTTTGACTGTTTCTCTACAATAGCAAAGCCAAACAGCACTATGTGAGTAAAATGTGAACTTCATGTTWCTGGAAGGATCCTGCCGTGGGGCTAGGGGAGCTCCTGGAATCTGACTGCAGGTTGGAGTGAAAAGATCTTCACACCACAAGGGCTGCTAGCATCTCTCCTTCACTGCAAGGAAGGAATAATAGGCTCTATTTTCCTCCTAAATCAAGACTATGAGAAGCGGTCAAAGAGGACAGACTTTCAAAGAGAGAGAGATTTTCTTTTTTTTTCCTCGTGCTTTCTCCCTGAATTTGGAGTCAGTGAGGATGGAAGGTTTCCCTAAAGCAATTTACAAGCCTTCCCAGAAGCCCCTTGACTGGTGGATTCACAACCCATTTGAAGGTGAAGTCCCCCAGGTCTGCTCTGGAGCCTGGCCCTTCCATGGTCGCCCAAGCAGCATTTACCCGAGAGGCTCAGAGAGGTGCCCTCACTGCTGCAGAGCCACCACGACAGAGTCAACAGGACATTGTGGGCAACCTGGGTCCCAGCAGACACGAGAGAGGCTCCCAGCACCCGCCTCAGCTCTCCAGTGCTGCGTTCACGGCGCTGCCAGTGCTGGGCAGCTGCAAACACTGCTTAAAATTCATCCAGTGGCATGCATGGTGAGTAGATTTTATCCTAATATTTAAATTACATGGGAGAATGGACACCCTGGACATTTACCTATTCCTATATTGGTTCTCCTATGCTAAGCTCCGCTGCATTTACCCTCCCAGGTCCTTGGACAGGAGGAGAATGCCACAGTTTTTGTCGGACTGCTCTGATGAGGGCAGAGGTGCAGAAAAATGAAGGGACTTCCCTGCAGCTGCACAAGCTGTCAGTGACAGGAAGGAAACTAAGCCAAGTCTAAAGGCTGATAAGTCAACCCTTGGGCCCATCCTTTCTCTTCAAAACAAGCCCCAAGATGCTCAAAATGCTGACAGTTTTCAGTGAAYGCGCTGGAACGGGACAAAAACTTCCACTGCAGGGAAGTTTTCAAGCAGGAAATTAGTCCCAGGACATGGAGAAGACACAAAAACACTTCATGCAGAGCACAGACATCTCAGCCCATCAATTCTACTGAGAGAGCTCCATGTCAGCCTTTCCTTGGCTTGCTCTTGGAGGCAGGAATGCCTCTCCCTGGCCAAGAGGGTGACAGGACATCAGTGCCCCTTGAGCATGGGTGATATTTTCCATGTGTCTCATGGGAAATTAGGATGGTGGAGAAATACCAGTAAAGAGCTTGAAGGAGCCACCTCAACATGCAGAGCCACCTGAAGCTCTCAAGGACACAGGATCCTCCAAGGAGTACTGCCCCACGTCACTATGACAGGGAATAACCTGTGGCTCTCCTGCCTAGGGATTTGGCTGCCAGGACATCCACACAGCCCTGGGAAGGGAGGCTGATTTCAGCACGTGCTGCAGGATGGAGGCTGTTTCTTGCCAGCAGAACCAGTTGGAAATGCATTTTGTAGATAGACGTGACGGACCATCCTGGCAGTGGTTTTGTTTAGCATCTACCTGGCCCTGGCTGTCTGCCAGCTGAGTCTGTGGGAGCATTCATTACAGCCCTTCTCACCCAACAGCACCACCAGCCTGGGACATAACCCTTGGTGACTAAGTGGTCGGCTGTATTTCAAGTCGTAAAGAACATCCCAGCATTAATGTGTCAGCAATTTGCTTTGGTAACGAGGAAGGGAAACAATGTGCAAAGGAACACCTGACTGAATACATAACGCAAACGAGTCCCACTGCAGGACTGTTGCACGGTTTGCTCTTGCACTCAATGAACCTGCCACATCACCAGCATCATCGTCATCTTTTGTGGTGGCAAACGATGTTCACATGTCTCTCTGTAGGTGAAAAGGGATGAAGGATGAACTGCATCCTTGCACTGTGTTCCAGACACCAGGACTGGTGAGGAAAAGGGAATGAAAACCAGAGGCCACCTGTATGAGACTGCRGCTGCCTTTGTCTGGGGCTGGTGGAATATTAACCCACGGGATGAGGTGGTTTGGGAACTGGTAATGGGAAAAACACAGAGTGAGCTGCCGAAAGGATCACTGATGGGGAGAAAGAGAGTCTGGCACTGTCGCCTGTTGGAGGTGTCGGAGGTCTACGGCTCTTCCCGCTCTTCCCTGCTTCAAAGCCCCATAAAGGCAGCAGTGACCGAGGTCACTGCCTGCCCTGCCGTGGCCACCAAGAGTGGGATGTACTCTTCCAAACCTGCTCCCTGGAACCACATGGATGTTTGCTGGGAATGACTCTTGGGGGTGCCACCACCCGGCACCAAGGCACAAAGAGACTCAAGGTGGGATGGTCCTGMGGTGCCCTGTCACACGCAGGGACAGGGACACAGACAAAACCCAGGGGGAACACGAGTGCTGGCATGCGGCTTGGCAGCTTGTGTCGCTGCCACGCAGCCCGTGCAGTTCCAGGCCCGAAGGAGCGGGAGGCTCCCGCAGCCGAGCCCTTCTCCCGCACTCACCTTGGCTGCCCGAGCGGGCCTCGGAGCGGCGCGGAGCGGAGCTGGAGCCGCGCCGCYGCGAAGCAGCCCCGCGGCGCTTCGTTTAAACACAAACATATTGAATCAGAGCGCTCCGCGCGCGAGGCTATTCTCGCCAGCCAAGCGTTTTGACAGTCRCATCAAGGTGGCGTGAGTCACCGTCCCCGCCTCGGGCAAGCGCGGGGACGGATATATCTTAATCACGTTACATTTCCCCGGCACAGTTCAAGGCACAGGGCCAAATTCCCCCCACGGCTCTGACAGGCGGCTTGTCCTGCCAGCCCGGATGAAGCCCAGGCAGCCAAGCGCCGGCATCGGCTCCGCAGCCTCCTGCTCTGCCCCGAGCCCCGGGCAGGGCTTGCACTGACCCCGGCAGGGCTGGCAGCAGGGCTGGGGCGGCAGCAGCTCCGCGGTGTCTCCCTGCTCCCCGTGCGCCGGGCACYGCGGCTCCAGCTGCCATTAGCGCTAATGGAAGTTTGTGGCATAAATCTCACGCGCGTCAGCGAGGGACGGGGCGCCTCTGTCTCCAGCCTGGACCTTTCAAACGCAGCTTTGCAGGGTCCTTAATTGCATCTTCAGGAATGAAAAACTCTTTTCATTCACCTCTCTGGTAATAATARAAGCGCTAAATGGGGCGGCATCCACAGAGTTGCTAGGCATGTTTGGCCACCTCATCCAAAGGATTATCTTTGCTAAATTGGTTTGGAAATAGATTCATAACATGGCAACTTGCTGGTCTAATCCCAAGGGGTGCTCAGCAGGGGTTGGTGCCGGCAATGCTGCCAGGGCTGCAAGGCAGCTCAGGCAGGAGGCGAGAAGGGATTTAACACATGACGGAACTGCTTGGGACACAGCAAAGCTTGGGCTTTTCCACAGAGAGGGACCTGCAAGCCCCGGGGCTTCCTGCTGGCTCTGCTGCCCTGACTTTGACACCGTGGGCGAGTGACTGCAGCCACAGGGGCAAAGACAGAGGCTCGGGGAGCAAACCAGCGTCCCACTGCGCGCAGAGGACACCCAGCCCAGCYGGCTGCAGGGATTCCTCACGGGGCAGGGGGGACCGGCATGCAAGCAAATTCCATGCATCTGAGACAGGAATCATTTCCGAGCCTCCCTTGCGCAGGGATCCACCAGCTCCCAGGCGAGCCGAGCTTGGCATTTCTTACCAGCTGGAGACGTGACTCGCTCACAGCGGAAAGTCTCCTAACGTCCTTGCGGCTGCTGACAAGCCGCGGGGATGAATTCCTGGGGCTGTAACCTGAGCAGYGCCAGCAATTAGGGAGCACCGGGCTGACATCTCTCTCTGGTTTCACACGCTATGCTGCCAAGTTTCCCTCCTTCCTGGGGCAGGAGAAGCAGCTGGCCTCCCTGTGGGATTCCCGTTGGATAAGGCAAAGCTACCAACCCGCAGGCAGATGAACGTGCGCATCGGAAATGCTCATGATTYGTTCCTGCCTGGCCAGTGATTGCAGGCAGTGCAAGGGAAGAGGCTTCCCATGCCTTGCTGGGGCAGGGAAAGCTCCCTGGCCTTGGCTTGGCTCTCCCGGGAGCTSCAGCCCCACTGCAAGTGCTGGGGTGCATTCGCAGCCTGGCTGCCTTTTCCTCTGCTCACTGCCTGGGACACCCCAGCTCAGTCCTGGGGATGGGTGTGTGCACCCTGCAAACCTCTCAAGCTTGAGCAAAGAAAACGGGATAACAGGGAAACTGCAGCTTCAGCCCCTTTCAGCATTGATGCAGCTCATCCCCCTCGCCCCGGAGGAGAGCCAAGCGGCTGCATCCGCCAGCGTGCGGGTTACCTGTGGATGCTGAGTCAATCTGCACAGGCTCTCGCGGGGGTAATTCCAGCAGTTCCGCTAAGGCTTCCTCCTTGCACGGGCTCAGCTAGCATTTCTGRCCGCGCCGCACTGCTGGAGCGTCACCTGCCGCCGTGGAGCAAGGAGAAACACACGTATGATAGGGGGAACAGCAGCAGGGAGCGGGGACTGCGGAGAGGAGAGCGGCGCTTCTGCAGACCCACGGAGCCTACTCAGGGCAAAACACACCTTGCAAATCACATCCAGGTCCCTAACCTCCACCTGACTGCCTGGGCTCCCTTTCCAACAGCAGCAAAGTAAAACCCAGCTTTAAGAAAAACATTACCAGTCTCTTGGTGGTGCATCTGTAACCCTCTCAGAGCAAGTGCTGCAAAAATACAGCCTGCTCCTCTAAATCAACAGAAGTTTCGTGAGCTAAAATGCGATCCCTGTGCTGAGCCTTTAAAAACTGCATTCAAAACTGCATTTATCTGTTGCACTACTACATTCAGGTGCTCTGCTCAGCCTCAGAGGGAGGCTAAAGAGCGGCTACCCMGACCACAGCATTAATTGGAGCAGCCTGAATTTCCAGAGGGAGAAGCCGTGGGACCCTCTGCCTGCGGAGGGACCCGGCTCTGGGGGAGCCAGGACACTGTTTCAGTTTAATGCAACTGCTGCCTTGAGCRCGATGCCGTTTCCAGGCTGCAATAGCTGCAGCGGCTGCCAGGAGCGTTGATGCTGCCGGAGCAGGAATGCTCCTCRTCCCGGGCAGAAAACAGCCACATGTGTGCATGCCCCAGCTCTGCACTTGCACGGGGGCATGCACGCTTTTAATGGATATGAATGAAGAAAGAGAACCAGCTTTAAACCCTGCAAGAGGGAGAGGAGGAAGGAGCATGTGTGTGTGCGCGCCTGTATCCGGGCTATAAGACATCTATATTTAGGCAACTATCTCATCCTGGAGGATGACACTTAGCCAAGAGGCAGGAGCGGCCACGGTTACTTTCCCGAGTTCGGCTTTGGCCGTGAGAAAGCCGTCTCCGACCAAAAGGAACTTTGTGGGAACGCGCCGGTGCCGGGAGCGCAGGCGGCGCCGCGCACCCCCAGCTCGTGATGCAGCAAAGCCGCCCAGGATGCTGCGGAGCGGCCAAACAGCGGGAGAAAAAACTTCCCGCGGGCACCGAGCACCTGCTGATCCCTTGGGGGAGATCCCGGGTGCTGCGGGACACCCCCCCCCGTCCCGCCACGGCGCTCCCCGCGCACCGCGACCCGACGGCGCGCACCGCGGCACTCACCGAGCGCGCGCGGGCCGGTGCTGCGTGCGCTGCCCCGCGTGGCCCCCGCGCCGTCCCCGCAGGCGCCCCGCGCTGCTCCGCGTGCCCCGCGAGCTGGTGGCGGCTCCCGCTCCCGCGCGTCCCCGCAGCCACTGAGTCGCTCATCACCGCCCGGCCGAGGAGAAGCCGGAGGTGGGTGGCCAGATGTTGGCGCCGCGGATTGGTCCAGCGGGAGCAGATGTTAGCCGGTTGCTAGGAGCGTTGCTAGGAGGCAGTGACGCTCTCTCCATCTCGGAGCCACTCGAGGGGAGGCTGGAGTTTCCTGCGGGAAGGCAGGGCGGGCAGGGGAGCGGGTCCGGCCTGGGGGTGCTCCAGAGCCTGGTGGTGTCACCCCAAGCCAGGGATGGGGTGCACAGGACCTGCCTGGCGTGGCCTGGCCGGGGGCGATGGCCCTGGGCAGGAGCGAGGGCTGGAYCGTGCAGGAGGGCTGTGAGCTGAGAGGTGTGAGGAGATGCCCGGGACATCCCGAGAGCCAGGAGGGGACAGCAAGGTGTCCAGTCCTGGAGAGGGGGACAGGGAGGACATAAAAACAGGCACCCCTCGGCACATTCGAGGAGACATCCCGCTGCGGGGACAAGGAAGAGCCAAGGGGAGCAGAGGACAAGTTTCAGGGTCAGACCATGAGAGACAACCCAGAGAAGGAGGGAGGCTCGTTTGCTGTCCTTCTGGGTCCTGCTTTTCTCCTTCATCCCCTCCTAACTTACCTCGGTCYCTTGGTCCCCAAGTGCCCATCACCAAACACACGGGCCACCCCCAGACTGTCTGGGATGCTCCACCATGATGCCCCGGATCTCACCATGGTGCTTCATCCCTCTGGGATGGTGAAGAGGCACCACGGTGTTCTCCAGTCCCAGCCATGGACACAGCCGGGCAGCGAGGCTGGAGTCTCCAGGGAAAAGGGAGCACACACAGGGATTGCTGCAGGAGTAGGTGTCACTCAGCAAAACAGCCCAAACCTCCCTCTCCCAACCAGCARCTCAGCATGGAGTGGGACAACCTGGTTCTCTCAGCCCGGTGGGTGGATCCGACCACTGAGCACCCTTCAGCTCTGGGTAGGATATGGAGCTCACACATCAGCACAGCTCCAGCTGGCAAAGCTCAAAAAAAGTTTAAGGTAAAATCTCACCTGTACAAGGCAGCGTGCACCCAGGAAGGTGATTCCTTTCCCAAAGATCCTAACTCCAGATGCTGGCTGGAGCATCTCTCATATGAGGAAAGACTGAGTGAGCTKGGCCTGTTTAGCCTGGAGGAGACCTGATCAACATGTCTAAGTACCTGTGGGGAGAATGTAGGGAGGAAGGGGCCAAGCTCTTCTCAGTGGTAGTCAGTGACAGGACAAGGGGCAATGGGGACAAGTTGAAACCCAGGCAGTTCCATCTCCAGGTGAGGAAGAACTTCTTCACTGTGAGAGTGACAGAGAACAGGCTGCCCAGGGAGGTTGTGGAGTCTCCTTCTCTGGAGATCTTCCAAACTGACCTGGATGCCACCCCATGCTCTGGGTGTCCCTGCTGGGGCAGAGGGTTGGACTGGGTGATCTCTAGAGGTCCCTTCCAACCTCAAACATCCTGTGGTTCTGTGATTCTGATGTGTCCCATAGGCCATCCTACTACTGGAGGTGACTCACACCAGTGCCAAAAACGAAGCAAGGCAACAGCAGTTGCATTAGCTTCCTTCACCAGCCAGCTGAAGCCCTTGTCTCCAGTGATTGGGTTGATGGGTGCCCAGGGCATGCTGTATCTGGCCATGTCGCTGCTGGTCCAGGGGGACACACAAAGTTCTGGTGGCTTCATGGTCTCCATGAAGGTCCTGCATAGCAGGGCACCCCAGGCTTTATTCCCTGCTCTTTTACACAGTGGAAACAGTGTCAGGTCCCATTTGACACTCACCTGGTTGACACCTCATCCAAATTTCAACAGACTGAGTCTTAGCAGGCCCAGCTCCCAGATGGTAAAAGMTGGCATAGCAGCCTCATAGCAGCCACTCTGTTGACTCCAAGTATCCAACTGTAGTTGGCACTGAGGCCACAAGGACATGCGCGTRGGTACAAATGTCTCCTCAGGTCTTTTCGGTCTGAGAAAGCTCAGACGTGACCAAATTCTTATTTAAAATTACTTCTGAAGTGCTGCTTCTTTTATTGAAAGTCAACTATCTCAAACTAATTTCAAATCTGAATTTTCTAGGACAATAGGAAGGCACTGGAATTTAATTGATTTTGATTACCTGCCTTATTATTATGCTGCTAGCAGCAATAGCTTAGGTTGCTGTAATTTTAAATTTACAGTGAGACGTATCTGACATTTCTCTGTCAGTGAATAGAGGACCTCAGTGATTCTTCAGCTCTTCACAAAGATGACATAATTAATTCAGTAATATCACTTCTGCACTAAGAGATAGAAAAGGGAGACACAGAAGAACCTATTCCGCATTTGAGAGCTGAACGAACAACAGACCGAGTTGTTGTGTCAAGAATTACCCAAGTTATCTAAGGTTCCTGAAATTGATTGTCTTTTTTAAAAATATATTCAATATAATTTGTGCTGCAAAGACACGTCTTCCCCTCTAGTGTCAGCACACAAGCGGGACTTATTACCTGGCAATAATTTACAGCCAAAAGGTCAGCTATTCTTTCCCCAGCTGGCTCCAAGAAGCATTTCCATTCCCTGCTCAGCCTGGAGCACGTTTGCTTGAAGCCCAGGTTTAGTTGCCTGTCTTGGTCCCCGGGCGGAGGGAAACAGATGCCCCGCTGATAAAAATCAGCATTATGTCCTTGTCTTGCAGGGAACTCCACCAAACTGCAGTAGCCAAAGCTCTGTCTGAACACTTAAGACCACCTATGGGCTCAAACTCCAGCTTCAGAGAAGCCAAGAGGCTCCTCATCTCTCTTCCAGCTAAAGGGAGCCCTGGCAGGAGAGGGATGCCCAAGTGTTGGCACCAATATTCCCACAAAGATGCAAAGCACCTTGGAAGCTCGTGGTCCCACACGGAAGCGCCGACATGAAGTTAAAACATCCGCTTCCATCCCCACGCGAAGAGGAGGCCTAGTCTCTGCCAGGGACTTGGTGAGGGCGATCGCTGCCCAGCTGACAAGCACCTTGTTCCAGAGTGATGGAAATTAAACAGAACCCAAAGCTGGGACCAAAGTCTCTATTGACAGTGATATTATTTGAAAAGATAAGACCTTAAAATGTGCACTGCACAAGATAAAACCCAGGCAGACACACAATAGAAGAGGGTTTATTTTTTTTCAGTCTTTTGAAAGCAAGATTGCCTAGCTTAGTAAATACAATAATAAATATATATTTTTAATGGTTTAGAGCTACTGGGATTACATAAAACCAAGAGATTAGCATTTACTTTAACTGCTTCACAGACTTAGAGAAAATCAGTTCATCTCTAAGCACTCCTGTCTCCTCAAACCAACTGTTAAAGAGAGATGCATTAACGTGCCCTTTGGAATGTAAGCCCCAAATAGGCAAGAGACATATGTACAAAAGCACCAGTACTCCCAAGCAACCGGCGCATGTGCAGTATTTCTAAAGACAGATGATGAAACCAATTGACATAAGGACATAACCACCTGAAAGAAGTATTTTTGAAAGACCAAACATATCAGAAATTTTTAGCATTTGTACCTGCAATGCTGAGCTGTCTCAGATAGACGGAGTCACATTCCCGACTGGTCTTTATCCCGTTGCTGGCCAGCAGCCTCTGGCAGGCAGAAGYCCCCAGAGGTTTGCCCAGGTGTTGGCTTGTCAACAGCAAACCCGTCGGGTAACTCCGCGCTC